GAGAGGCAGAGCAGCAGTTTGGATGTTTGAGTGGCTAGCTCCTCATTTCGAGTTGGCGAGGGTATACACAATGCTGTTCCGAGCGCTCACCTTTGCTTTTGTCTTCATGGTGCGTTCTTTGTATGACAGGGTACGATCGAGGGTGACTCCAACGTAAACTGGGTTTGGGGTCCGAGACCTTGTAATGCTGAGCTGGCGGCTGGCCTCATGGAAATGTTTGTGAGATCTTTGAGGTCTAAAGTCAGTCTGGTCTGTTGTTCTGGTAGCTAAGCTAATGGCTTTTTTGTTTTCTTTGGAGGTAGGGAGGGGTTGTGCTTCAGGCTAAAAGCAACACAGTTCCAGCAAAGGAGCTAACTTAGCAGTCTTGCCATCCCAGTAGACTCTAGGGCAGAGCAGAAATCTCCAGGACTATATGATCTGCTAACATTTCCAACCAAAGGGGATGGGTGAAACTTTACATAAACATCCTAAGCAAACCCTGGGGCCTTGTGAATGCACATCACTGATAGTGCTTCTATCACAGAAGCTGAAATCTATCCCTGTACTGAGTGTCGCTACGAAGCTCTAAGCACTAGGTGGGTCTCAAGCTCCCAAAAAAGGGAATAGCCCCTTCTTAAAGAGGGGGGAGGTTGGTATCTAGAACCTTGCACTGAGCCACTGGCTGCTATTTCTGCACGAACCCAAGCTATACATCCCTGCTGGGGATGTATCAAGTGGATACTGAAGCAGGAGGTCTTTGGATCTCAGTGCATAGTGAACCCTGCAATATACTATGCCAGCTTTCTCTTCAAACTGCCTTGGCTCTAGCTGTCAAAATCCCCACCACTGCTTCGCTGTAGAGACTAATAAGTTTCAATGCAACCCAGGAAACAGAGTTTGGTCCAGTCAGATTTACCTGATGTCTTGGTCACTGCTTCCTTTGCTGGGAGGAATAATGGACCGTTGCGAGACAGATGGACTCCAAAGGGTTTTGTCCCTCCCCACCCTGAAAAACCTCATTACCTCTTTCAAGGCAACTATTAACCGCTATAGCGTTTGCCCTATTTTCTGACTTGCATTGCTAACAAGCATTAAACCAGAATTCCAGCAAGCGCTTAGCACTTTCTGAATTGCTCCAATTGTGAAGGCACAATGAGGAAAGGAAATGCTGGAGAGCGGGCCTTGCCGACTGCTGAGAAGGATTATTCTCCACTGGAGAAAGAAAATGAAGCGGCATGAGCCCAAGTGAACATGCCCAGCCACTGCAAAATAGGGGCTGGAACCAAGACTGCTGTGCGGGAAATTGGGTGGCACAGAAAAAACGCATTTAGGAAGAGTGACTCACGGTGCTCCAACCAGACAGCTCAGCCTATGCGCAAAAGGCAAAGTCCTTTGCAATTGCTAGAAAATGCGAAGTGTATTACTTCGTGGGAAATCTAATGGCTGGGTGAGCAGCTATCTTCTTGGTCTGTCCAGCTCCTTCACCAGATAGGCATATGGCCCCCTCACTCTTGTAGGAGGTGAAGGGATGGGTTGAATCAAATGCCAGCTATTTTGGCAGCTCTCCCAAGCTTCCCTCTCACGCAGGCTATTGGTAGAAGTTAAGTGATGTGATGGCTTTGTTCTAGCCTGCTCCATGTAGCCTCTGTCTACAGAAGGGGATTAAAAAAAAATCCCACTAGGGAATTCACTCCATTCCTTTCTCCAAGGAGCAATAGATGCCCACAGCTCAAGTTTTTCTTCAAGACCAAAGGAGGTCACCAGGCACAGCAGCTTCATTCTGCAGAGAGGATTTTCATTTGGTTTTGTTGGTGTTGAGTCATGATAAATTTGTGGAAATATTGAAGGCATCCATTCTCCACCGGTTTCGGTGGAGAGCACGCATGGCAGGGATGCTATCCTGATTGCACAAAGCTTGATTATGTAATGTTCGGGCTAGGCTAGCCATCAGCATGGATAAATCTTCCCTACCTGTGTGGGGGTTTTTTTGGCTGCACTGTTTCACCTGCAGGCAGAGGAAGATGAGAGCCACCGGGAGAGAGCTCTCTTCACAGCATTGAGGGGAGCAGAGTCACTCTGCATTTACGCTCAACCTGACTCACTTGTTTGCTTTTCATTGGAAACTCAAGTCCAAAGGATCCTTGTAGTCAGCGATGAATCAGGCTTTACGTAAACAGTGCAGACCTGGCTCCACTTGGAGACAACGCTCAACCAATCTGCACACAAAACTGACACCCAGTGGCTGAGCCTTTCTCAGCTTCAATTTCCCCACCAGGTGCCTGGGCCTCCAGGAGGAGAGGCCACCATGACTTAGTCCCTGCTTCTGAAGATGCCAGGGGACAACCGGATTTTTCCTTTCTGGAAACAGAGATGGTGGCAGAAGAGCTACAACCACACAAGACAGTTGATTGACAAAAACAGGTGGGATCGGTGTTGCGTGGGTGAAAGAGGGACCATAAGGATGAGGCCCGTCAAGGAGCATGGAGGCACAGACTCAAGGCCAGAGCATGCCTTTGGGACTCCTGGCTTCCATCGCTGGTAGCAAGACCTTCGGCAACTCAATACATCCCTCTGTGCCTCTGTCTCCAGTTGCAAAGCAGTAATGAGAATTCCCTCACTGTCTCCTGCAGGAGCAATGCTGCAAGGATTAATTTAATTAGGTTTGTAAAGCATGTTGATTAAAGGCTCAGATCAAAAGCGCAATAAAGACAAGATTATTACTATCTGAGCCAGCGGCTGCTGGAGAAAGGGATTCTCTCCACGCATCCACCCACCAGGAAGTGAGGTCAGACTATTTAGATGGCCATGGATGAATTTAAGTGGCAATGAACTGACCCGTGAAAACTGCAAAGGAAACAAATGCCTGGTGAACTTGAATCAGTGTGTGGGCTCCCACTGAACTTAATATTAATGCTGGGTGGGCAGAGACCTGAGCTCCTGCTTCATCCACTGTTGAGCTGCTGCATATGCATAGTGAGGTCCAGCTGAGATGCCAGCCCCCCTGGGGCGGAAGTGCATTTTACTTTGACTGCAAGCAGCTGAGGGCAGGACTGTCCTTTTTGTTCTGTATTTGTCCAGTGCCTAGTGCAACAGGAATCTGGTCCATGACTTGGGCTCCTAGGTACTCTGGCAATACAGATAACAGATCATTTATTATATACATCAACCTAAAAGCATCCATGGACACTTTCAGAGCTCTCTCTGTCATCACCCTTGCAACCACCCCTTCTTCCTATGGTCTTTGACGTCAGTGGGGATGGGGCTGCTCTGGGAGAACTGAGGGAAGGACTGGACCATAGCACTGTAATGGATGTACTGACTCTGGAGAGAAGGTCGGCACAGATTTTCCCACCCTTGTGCATTACCTAAGAATAAGCCTGAATAATTTGTACATCAAAAAGGCCATAGGTCCTCCCATGCTTAGCGCCCCATAAGGTTAGCCTGTTTTGGGCACAGTGGTTCCTATAGACATCAACACACCAAGGAGTGATGTAGCTATCCTCAGGGGCAACTGTCTTGACCCCCTCAACCTGAATGACCAGATACCCATTTATGGCTGGGTTGACTGGGGGTTGTGTGTGGCATGAATCCAAAGCTGGGATCTCAGCATGGGACTTTCACAGGTGCCTTTCAGATGGGATTTGGATTTTGAAGTTGCTGGGGAAAATTCTATCTTCAGTACTTTGGTACTTTCTACAGCCACAGACCCACCTATATACGTGCTGTAGCAGGTACACGTACTGTGCAAAACATTATATAAAATATGCTCTATAAAAAGTTCAGTAGAACTAAAAACTCCCATAAAACCACATTAAAAACATCACTGAGCTAACAACTCGGTGAGAGAAAACATCCAGTGACATCAAGCCTCGATAACTGTAAATCCAAGAGTAACTCTGATACGCAGCAACAGAGAAAGACAAGGAAATACTACATGAGACCTCTATGCTGCTCTTATTCATAGAAAAGAGAGAGGCAGAAGGAGGGAAGGATGATAATGGTATAGATCTCAGATTTACATAACGCCTTCCATGCAGACAGAGGCTAAAGAGTTTTACTCACCAACTGAACAAACTAAATGCATGAGTCATTTCTTCTACCACTTAAATGCTGCTGCACAGGGAGGGAAATGCAACCAACAGTCCAGAGCAAGCTCCTTGACAATGAGAATAAGAGTCTTGTCCAGCTGTGAGAAATGACAGTAGAAGAACAGATTTTCCAGGACAAAGCACTGGCTGCCATGTTGCGGGAGAGGCCCAAGGCCAATACCTCTCCGGGAGCAATAGGCAGAGGATTACTGCACATCACTGCTTTGTCTGCTAGGATTGTTCTGCTCTCTATGCGAGGGGATTTAGAAGCCACATTCTTAATTAACTAAACAGAACATAAAGGACTGCTTTTATGTGGAGGACCCTGAAGGAAGCTCAGGAGGCTAATTTCAGTCAGAGTGGCTTTGTCTGAGTCAATGCTATTTTTCCCCACATTTTAAATGTCTTTGTTCCTAAAGGCTCCTTTAAAACAATGCCTCTCCTCTCCTACTGCTTTGAAGGAAACGTGTAGGGAGGGAGAGGGACAGATGGTTGATCGGGTTTGCAAAGTCGTGTTGGTCCTGTTAGGTAGCCTTGCTGATCTGGAAAGCTGAATTCCTGGAAACCGATTCTTTCTGAACGCGGGCCATTTTTTCAAAGGTGTTTCAGAGACTTAGGAGCCTCAGTCTCATTGAAACTCAGTGAGATGCAGCCACCTCCGTCACCATAGGTCCTTTTGAAACTCATCTCGTGTGCGCCCTGCCTGGCTGTTACACCCAAAATAGTCGAGAGAGCTTGTGATCCTGAGTGGCTTTATTTCTGCTGTCCCACCAGAGACCTCTTAAAAGAAATCCAAATCCTGGGAATCCCCTTCAGGGAACACTGAACCACTAAGTTACTACGAGTCAGTAGTTACCTTGAAATTCCTGGCCTGCCTAGGGCACACGCCACAAGAAAACCTTGCACTGCAGCCAATGACAATGGCAGCCTTACCTAAGAAAGTCCCGATGAATCCCAATGCCAAGAAACTGGAGAGGACAAACAAGGTTCCTATTCCCAGGAGGACCAAGCCCACACAGTAGGAAAAAAGGGAATCCAAATCTTCCAGCTTTGGTTGGCTCTTCATCGCTTGTGTGAAACTGTGGGAAAGAAAAGGGATCTGTAATTGAAGCATCATATTAATACCTTTATGAGCATCTTTATGGGAGATCTGGGGTTCAGAGGCTGGAACATGAGAAAGAAATTGGGTAGGAAGATTCAGAATCTGTTTTTATTCTCCAGAGCTAATCTGAGATGATGGCTCCTCAGTTGTTCTGATTATTTCCTGAGAAAAGCAAAGTGCCAGGGCAGTGACTGATGCAGTTACTCCTACTTGGAACCCAGGGCATGGGGCTAAAAATATTGACGTTTCTCCACTGAATGTTTAAAAGCAGTTCTTCCATTCTTCAAAGCACGTTTTATCACACCCAGGCCCTTCTGGGAGAGGGCAGCAGCCTTGTCCATATAAAGTGCTTGAGGCTGCAAAACCCGAAGCACAGAAGCCGAGTGTTGGGAAAGATCTGCTGGGTTATCTTGTCCCTTTCCCTCTCCCCCCACACGCTAAACCAAATATTTTTACATGTTGGACACGTGCCTGGAATGATTCACCTCTGAAGCCTGAGAGTAGGAATTTGGGAGGAAGATCAGAACTGATGAGGGAAAAGTACTAGACACACACACTTCAAAACAACTTTGAGCACAGAGAAAGGGTAGCAGGTCTTGCTGATTGGTGCACATTCTTTCTGAAGAAGTCACTGCCACGTGAGACGCTTTCTAAAAGGCCTTTATAACGATCATCATGAACACTGACATTTAATTAAATTAAAGTTAACTAAAGGTTTTTAATAGGCCTCACACATCTTTGGTCCAAATAATAATCGGAATCCCTTAGATAATGTTCTATCCAGTCTGAGTGGGACTCTAATCTTAATTAAGTTTCTGCATAGCCCCAATTCCCTTGAGTGGACGGAGTCCAATTTTTTTCCTTTGCTCTCTAACATGCTAAGAGCATTGCTACCTTCTGTGATTTTACTTTGAATACTGCAGTGTTTGGTGTGTTCAAAGCCCAGCTCCTGGAGTCACTCAAGTACTGGAGGATCATTTTTTCACTTATATGAAAGCTGCAGGTTTCTATCCTTTGCACTGGCACAGAAGAGAATGGAAATGTAGGTTTCAAAGGCATGGAAAAGGCAGGGTTTCTCAGACTCAGGGGGAAGTAGCAGTACTAGCAGGAGAATGTCGGCAAATCATACATACAAAAAAAAAAGCCAACATCTCAGCCTGGTTTGTGACTTGCTGGGTCAAACAGTTTGCACCTGCTGGATACGTGGCATGGAAGGGAACAGGTCTAACAGAAGCCAGCACAGGTGGTATTGTCTTTACACTCATGCCCAGGGAAAAGTGTGCGTTCAAAATGCCTAACCAAAGTCTATTGAAGAACTCCTACTGACTTCAGCTGCACTGGGAAGTGGCTAGGCAGGTCGAGTCAGCCAGACATGTGGCAGCTGTAGTTGGTCCAGGCTGGGGGGGAAGCCAGGGGTGACCCCAGGGGTAGCCAGGGTCAGACCAGGCCCAAGTAGGCAGAACCAGCCCCATGCAAACTGCATGCATTTCAGAGCGAGATGAGGACGCAAAGAGGGGAAAAAACCCATAGCAGAGACCAGCTGCTGCTGTTTCACCTCCCACTTGGACATCACACACCCTCAACACTGCTTTAGCAAAAGGGTACTCAGCATCCGAAAGGGGTCCCCACGGCAGGCTTCAGGACTCTTGTCTCAGGGATGTTTGTAAAATCTTGTTATGCCAAGGGACAGGGTCTCCGAGGGGGTAGAAAGACCCCCAGGAAGGTTCCTCCTATATAGGAGGCCTCCATAGCCAGAGCAGAGGTGGTGGAAAGGCTCTACAGACCTCACTCCCGGTCTCCCTGTGTAAGGGGTGGCTTGGGGGCAAGGCAGAGGTGCAGCAAAACGTGCTGCACTGAATGCTCTGGGCTCATGGGGAATGGAGCCCAGGCTAACACAGCCCTGTGGTGCCTCTGATTTACCCTGCACGGCTTCAGAGTCCAACGAGCCCAGAACGTGCCTGATAGCAGAGAAAGCAGGTCACTAAGAACGAAGCCCAAGTATCTGCCACCAGCATGCAGAGAGGCTTATTTTGGCACGGTCTTCCCCTCCCTCAGCCTCCTCTTCCAGCCATCCCAGCCTTTGCTTTCATGCCTGGATACTCAGGCAAACATTAATTACCCTAATCAGCATGTCTCATTCGATTCCCCTGGTGTTCAGCTTGCAGCTCGAGGGATGTGTTTGCACTGCGATAATGGCCTGTCTTTCCCTGGAGTCATGTTGTATATCTCCCCAAACAGAATCTCTATTTGCACCATACGTGATGAATGCAGGCGTTTTTCACAATGGGTAAATAAACCCTCTGAGCATTTCCTACCCAGTGCCATGACAATCAACACAGTTTTCAGCAGCTCCAATTATTGCTGTACCTGTAACATAACCTTGGCAGCCAGAAGTCAACCTTATCGCACATCACCCTTCTGTAGGTGACGGATCAGCCGACCCCGCTCAACAAGGAAGAAAGCAAGGCAGTAGGTTGATCATTAAAATGACCCTTTTAACACAGGCCCCAGTGTCACATGCTTTGTTATGACTGTTCTGGGCAAGCAGTAGTCTATTGTCATACCGTGTCCTAAGAAGAGACACTGCCATGCTCCATCCAAAGCCTTTAAATCCATTCCAAATACAAAGCAGGTGAACCTCAGGCTAGGAATGTCCTTCTACATCAGGGAGGAACGGCTGTCCAGTGAAGATAGCGTTGGGCATGCCCCCCTTCACAGAGCACCTCAAAATATGTGTATGGAAGCCTAGATGCCCAGATGTCTCCCTATCAATGGTGGGTATTTCCAATGTGCCCATCACCATGATGATATCCATGCATCTACAGCAAGGAGTGCTGACAAAGGAACTCCATTCTCTGTGGTACTGCTGCATCACCTGAAGAAGGCCATTTTGTCACTGCGCCACTTAGCAGCATCTCTTATCAAAGGAAAGCCCCTGCCCATAGATGAGTTTTGCATTGCATCTTGGCGGTGAGGTCTGCATTGACCTTCTTCTCTGCATAGCTCCAAAATATCCACTCCAGGCTCTACCAGCCACACCTGCCTTGGGTGCACCGTCACTCAAGAGTTGGTCTCTGGTCTATCCCAGTGGATATCAAGTGACCATCCACAGACCAATGGCTTAGAAAGGACTTGCAGATGGTGCACAAGGAGCATTTCAACCATCTGATCCTCCATTTCTACCTGCTAAATTGTATTTTCCCAAGCCACGACTGCGATGTCAAACAAAGAAACGCGAGTCAAGTATTTAAAGCATCGACATGCATTATCAATAGGACTCCTCTGCCCCTTCTAGCTGCAAATCCAATGGCCTTCAGGTTACAAGCATCTCCCTGTAGCATATAGGTGGACAGAGGGATGGAGAGGACATAAAACCTCTCCGCCTTTTATGCCCCGAAAGTCAGAGGTTCAGTCCCCAAGGCATCAGCCAGGGGTGGCTGTCACAAAGACAGAGGGAGGTGGGAGAAGGATGATTTGACCGCTTCAAACAGTACGAACATGAAGGTACAGAACTAAAACCTTAGGAAAGCTATTTCCAGAAAGATGACATTGGCCTGGACAGGCCACACCAAGAATGAACTAACAGTGCTGATCAGCATGTTTCTCCAGGATGTTACACGTGGCCTTTTTTCATTACAATCCAATGCGAGAGGCTTTGTTTTCCTCACCTGTTCCTAAAATGGAGATGAGGTCACTATAATGATACACCTGTTGCTGTGCAGGTGATATTAACTTTATGAGCCAAACTAAATGGGCTGGAAATAAAACAACAAAATTGGAGTGAAACCACTGAGGAAAATAAATAAGACATGAAGGTGGGAATGCGTTTAAAACCTGCCTCTAAAGGGGTATGAAGACACAGTAATAAAATACAATTGTATTAGGGCTGACTGGACAGCTAGATTTTTCCTACAGGTTTCAGGAAATAACCCAGGCTAGGTATGGAAGTAGCTAAGAACAAGATTTCCAAGAATGGAAATCAAAATCCAGGTTCCTAAATTACAGGGGTGTAGGTTGTAGCTGTGTGGGTCTAAGGACATAGGTAGACAAAGTTCTTGGGGTGAATTTGAGTTGGTCTAATAAAAGATATCAGATTTACTCAAAGAACTTTGTTTGCCCAGGTTCCCAAATTCACATTCGCAACATGGAAATTGAGGAGCTGATTTTTTGAAAGAAGGGCTCTCAACACCCCCTGTCGCTCCCACCGGCACCTTGAATTGCAAGCAGACACGTTGTGGAAGCCAGCTGAGACTCTGGAGCACGGCTGCGATGTGATGCTCCAGATGTGGCGTTGCACCAGCTAAACAAGCAGCTGTGCTTTGCTCTGGCCAAAGCTTCCAGGCCTGCTTGAGGGGTAGTAACTTCATACAGCAGCACTTCTGCCTGCACATTTCCTTGGATCTCATGCGCCCCATCTAGAAGGCCAGGTCACTGCGTGAGTATAATCTCACTTGCTTTACATCGGAGCTGCTAACTCAGAGGCGTGACATGGAGAAAGCCCACTGCAGTAGATTCACAGTCCTGTTGTAGCCAGAATGGTCCAGGGAATATGTGGGAAGCAAGATATTACCAAAGAAACCCTGCTTCTCACATTAAAAAGCCAGTTATGAAAGAACTGGGAACGGGAAGACAGAGTGTAGGTGACAGTCGATCACCAGGGGCTAATTCTATGGGCCTGAGCATGAATTTTAAGGGCTAAAAAAAGTCTCAGCAGTAGCGCAAGTATCACAGTGAAAATTATCTACTTCTTTGGTTGAAGGATTAGGTGCAATAAATGGGGACACTGCTGTAATCATATTACCACCGACAGTCAGTTATTCACAGAGCAAGCCCATTACCCAGGGATAATTGAACTGGGAGCAGCCGTTCCTATTGGTCCAAAGGGGCGATTGTGAAAGAACACCCAATAATTCACCAGCAACAAACATTACGACCGGCGGCGTCACAATAAAAGTACTTGGTATTTTTTTTTGAAAA